CCTTCGGGCGACGGCCCCCTCCCTGGCGTCCGGGGCAGGGTGGGCACCTGCGGGGGCCGTGCCCCGCTCGGGTTTCGGAGCCGCTTCCGAACACAGGCCACGCTCTCCCACGCGTGGGCAGCGGCCCCGACGTGAGCCCCGCGGGGCCGGCGCTCGGATTGCGTGAGGACCCGGCGCCGCCAGTTCTGTCGGCTCCTGCGGGCGGCCGTTTTTTTTTTTTCTGTTTTCCGTCCTGCCGGCTGGGAGGCGTCTTCGAGGGCAGGGCTCGGTGGTGGCGCTACTTATAGCGCCCTGCCGTCTCTGCCCGGCTCTCCCTCCGCTCGCTGTGTGTCGCCCGCTGCCTTTGCGCTCTGAGAGGAGCCGTCCGAAGCGTCCCGCGGTCCAGCTGAACTCGAGGGCCGGGCGATCAGCACGCCGTGTCCTTGGCCCTGCCCGGCTCGGGAGCCGCCCGGGGACACGTGAGAACCAACGGCACGCGTGTGAGGGAGCTCTGGGGGCCGCGGGCGACTTGTCGCTTTCAGGCCGTGCCGGGCAGCCGAGCTCGCCCTTGTTTCCAACTCGCGGCGTTTCGCGAGCGACAAGCGGCAGCTGTTGGGGGGTGTTCGCTTGCTCCGGTGACACTGACGCTGCTCTGGGCGCCAGAGAGAGACCGAGAGTCCTGAACACGAGTCTCCGCGTGACACGTGGATTCCTTGTTAGCACTCCATGTTTTAAGAGGAGCCGGAGCCCCTGGGCTTGCTGGGACCTGCCCCTCCCCACGCCGGGCACGGGCCCGGGCTCTCGGCCAGTGGTGGCTGGGTGGCGTGGGGCCTGCCGCCCACACTGAGCCTTTGCCCAGGAATGGGGGGATACGGGGGCCCCCTCTCACGCCGGACTTGGCCCCAAAGGAGGTGAGGCTGGAGCGGCCCTCATGGTGCCAAGATGGCTGTGGCAGCTCCGTCCTGCCACCATGGTGAGGAGGCGGATGGTGCTGCGCGGTCTTGGGCGCCACTGTGTCAGGTGCACAGCAGCGTCAGAGATGTCCTGCCTCCTTGGTGACATCTGTGAGCCCGAGGCCGGTGTGACGGGCACACTACGTGGCACGTGGTGCAGGCTGGCGCAGAGACGCCTCTTCCCCTCTGGATTGTGGCGCAACCCCCGACTCCCACCGAACCTCGGTTCCTCAACGTTAAGACGGAAGCATCACGTTCTTCGCAGCGGATGCCGTGTGCGTTGGCACGCTTGCTTTCCAGGAACAGAAAATCCACAAGGGCGTTTTGTTTGTACGCATCGCTGAGATTTTGCCTTCAGCTGCGGGTGGACCCAGGGCCCGGACCCGCTGGCTTCAGACACAGCGGCGTCCGAGACCTCGCAACGCCATCTGCCACCTTGTCATGGTGGTGGGACGGAGCTGCCGCAGCCGTCTTGGCACCATGAGGGCCACCCCAGCCTCACCGTTTCTCAGGCCAAGTCCGACAGGAGAGGGCCCCCCCCCGAACCCCCTCATTCCCTGGCAAAGGCTCAGTGCGGGCGGCAGGCCCCACGCCACCCAGCCACCACTGGCCGAGAGCCCGGGCCCGTGCCCAGCGTGGGGAGGGGCAGGTCCCAGCAAGCCCAGGGGCTGCTCCGGGAGAGGAGGCGACAGGTGCTTGCCGTCAGCGTGCTGCCAGGCCTCCCGGGCCCGTGAGCTCCACGGTCGCGTTGCGTTTCGGTTCCTATGACTTTGCCCTCGGCCCAGGCACGGCCATCCTCAGAGATTTCCTCGGCGAAACTTGCCGAACGTCTTATTCCTGGGGCGCGTGGTTTTGCTTCGGCTCTCCCTAGAAGGTGGCGAGTGCCGTGGCGGGCGGGCCGGGAGCCTGCTGCGTGCTCGGGGCCCAGCACCCCGAAGCCAGGAGCTGCTGGGCTTGGGGTCGGGCTCGCGGGATCCTGTTTCGCTTCCCGGGCAGTTACGGACGTTTGAGGGACGAAGGTGCTGCCCGGTGGGGGGAGGGGGCTTGGGAAGGGCCACCCTGGCGCCCTGGCTTCACGGCCATCCCTCCCTGTGGGCCCCTTCTCAGTTGGGACCCGCCCCGCCCGCCCCGGCCAAGTCCCGCGATTCTGCCCGTTCCCGCCAGGGTGGGACGCGTTTCTGGTTTCCCCAGCGAGCATCAAACCCGCCAGAACCTGTCCGTCCGGCCCCGGGAAACAAGGAATGGAAACTGGTCGAGACCCCAGAGCGCAGGGGCTTATTAGGGGACCGGGAATGAATGACCCCCCCCGCCCCCCGACAATCCAGACACTGACCTGCTTCTCTTCTCCCCCGCTGACCGCTCTCTCTCTACCACGGAAAAGGCTCAGGTCGAAGCCAAGAAAGAACATGAAGGCGCCGTGCAGCTGCTAGAGGTGAGTGCCCTGGGTGGGCGGGGAGGCCGGGAGAACCACGCTCACGCCCACTGGACGTAGCAGATAACGTTTAAGCGCCTGCTGTATACCGGCTCCCGGATGCTGTCTGTGCATCTTCTCGTGTCCTCGCCACGGCGATTTCCGTGTTTCTGCTCGTGGGGCAGCGGAGCCACAGCGGGGTCAGGCAGGTCCCCTGCGGCCACACAGCCGGGGTCGGAGCTGTGAGCCTCGGGCGTGGCCTGCGCCCCTCGCCCGGCTCCCCCGCGCTGGGAAGTAGCAAGGCTACGCTCCCCGGGGGAAGCGGAGGAGGGGCCGTTCCTGGGCACGTCCTGCCCCCCAGGGACTGCTGCGGGGCGCAGGCTAGGGGTGACACTGGTGCTGGGGGCGTTTGCAGGACGAGACAAAGGCGGGTCTAGCACGCAGGGCAGCCAGCGCCGCCCCACAGACGCGGTGACAGTGGCCTTTCTCCGTGCCCAGCGGCGTGGGTGGGGTGTCGGGGGTGAGCGCTCCCGGCCCTGGCCCTCGGTGCGATGCCGCCCCCCCCCCAGGAGCGAGTGGACGGGCAGACGGGGCAGAGCCCCTGGTGCCCCCGGCTTGTTACCCATGCGGGCGGCTGCAGGGAGCGCCGGCCTCACCGTGCCGGGGACAGGGCCTGGTGGCTCAGGACCCTTCCGGAGCTGGGCGTGCATGAGGGGCCGGCCCCGGCGTGGCCTCCTCCCGGTCAGGACTCCAGAGGTGGGGAGAGGTTCACTTCACCTCTTTGGGACAGCCCTGTCCCCTGTCGCCAGGGGAACAGCAGCCACTTAGATGCATGTGTCTCTTCCACCACCTTTTTTTTGAGACAGAGTCTCGCTGTGTTGTCCAGGCTAGAGTGAGTGCCGTGGCATCAGCCTCGCTCACAGCAACCTCAAAATCCTGGGCTCAAGGGATCCTCCTGCCTCAGCCTCCCGAGTAGCTGGGACTACAGGCAGCACGCGCCAGCCACGCATGCGCGGCGTCATCTTTTTTATACCTCTATTTTTAGGTGTCCAGACTAATTTCTTGTTCTTATTTTTAGGTAGAGAGGGGGGTCTCGCTCCCTCGCGCTCAGGGCTGGGTCTGCGAACTCCCTGGGACCTTGGAGCGATCCTCCCGCCTCGCCTCCCAGAGTGCGGGATGACAGCCGTGAGCCACCGCGCCCGGCCTGCATCACCTTTTAAAACAGGATTCCTCCGCGCAGGGAAGAAGGCTTCATGGTTATCACCGATACGTATTAAAATTGATTTTTTCCAAAAGCATGCATTAGTGACTGACCTGTATCTGGAGGGACGAGTGGATGGACCGGGTTAATAGCAAGTGGGGAAAGCAGACACACCTGGGGTAGACAGGCCTCCCTGCGTCGGCTAGTTATTGTTTCCCCGAGCATGGGGGTCGACCACCGGCCGGAGCCGTCCCGCACTGGCAATTCGCATCTCGCCCTCCTGGCGGGAGGAAGACTTTCGCTGGCCCGCAGGCTGTTGCTCTGCGCCCTGTCTTCGGTCTGCTGCCGCCTATGGGCCCGTGCCGTCGCGGCGGCGTGCTGTTTGAAACGTGGGGGAGGGCCCCCGGGGCGCAGCGCCTGCTTTGCTTTGAGAGGAAACGGAAGCCGCGCGGGTGTGCCGAGGGGCCGTTGCGTCTGCACTGATGGACGTCTCTCCGTGCTCTCTGTGTCTTGCTTGGCGCTGCGTCCAGAACACCCTTGACAGCATGCGGTATTCTAGACACGGTCCCCGGCCCGCGCGCGTGTGTGGTGCCTCCCCGTGCATGGCTGCGGCCGTGAGTCCCTGGCCTGCTCAATCCCGCTTGCCTTCCTGGACCGGCGCCCGGGCGCCGGCCTGCGCCCGGATCTCTCTAATGCGGTGGGGTCCAACCCTGGCGGTGAACACTCCACG